GTCAGCCTCTCTGCTCCTATGATGCTGCTTGGCCTGCTGTGTTCATCCAGCCCTGCACCTTGTTGTCTCAGCAATGTGATAATGACTGGATGATTTGTTTTTGTGATGTTGATTGAGGAATAAATATTGGTGAGGACAATGAGGATAACTCCCCTGCTCCTCTTCAAAAACAGTGCAGTGGGATTTTTTACATCTACCACGGCAGACAGCAGGGACCTCAGTTTAATGATTCATCCAAAAGTTGGCGCCTCTAACAGTGCAGCTCGGCTTCAGTGTGGCACAGCAGTGGAGCTTTGAGTCTGGCTCATCATCAATTGGACCCTGAACTCAGGACCTAGTGACTGAGATGAGCGTGCTGCCATTTTAATTCATGGCTGGTACGCAAAGTGAAATTGAACTTGAGTGATGTTTTAATATCAGTTATAGTAAGGTTATTCCATTGCAAAATATTCATAAATCCCAAAGATTGCTGAAGCATGACATGTTGTAACCAAGGTGACTTTGTCAGAGTTCCCTGGTGAGAAATAGGTATCTTATAATGCAAACATTCAAACCCATTTCAAAGTCTATAATGTGTATCGACATTTACATAGCAAAACTAAAGCATTGTTTGAAAATGAAACAGAAGTGTAGCAGAAAGCAAACACTCAACAATTCACACCAAGATTGTCCATAAATGGACGTTCTTTTTGGGAGCAATTTATCAAAATATGGGTCCACCACTAAATTGCCTTTCGAAATTTAAGAAAAGAGTTGTTTGAATGTAGCTATTTATTTCTGATTTTGCTGGATGATATTGTAGGTATCTGTGTCAAGTCATAATTGGCTGAATCTACCATGTTGTTTGTCAGTAAAACAGGAACCTGTCTGTGTGTCAACTGATTGACAACCAATATGCAGAAAAGGCCCTGAGACCTATGGTTGTTAGTTTCTCAATCTCCGCTTCCAGTGCCCTTATAATAAAAGCAAAATAGTGCTGATACTAGAAATTTAAAATTAAAATAAAGGTTGAAGAAACTCAGCAGGTCTGGCAGTATCAGTGGAGAGAGAGAGAGAAAGCAGGTTAATATTTCGAGTCTGGTACACTTTCTTCGGAACAAGACTCTTCTGTAGAAGAGTCACACTGGACTTGAAATGTTCACTCTGTTTCTCCCCACATGTGCTGCCAGACCTGCTGAGTTTCTCCAGCAGTTTGTTTATATTTCATAGCCCTTATTTTACCCTGCTGATGAATGCTTTTATTTTTTTATTTAATGACTGCTATTTTCTTAATTTACAGGCAATCTGTTACTATTTGGACCCAATCTGGCACCAACTTGGGGCAAAAACCAAGTCTCTGGTACAAGATTTGAAGGTTCTTCGCACTCTGTTAGAATATTTAACCCAGTATGACTGTGTTACCTTTCTCAATCTGCTCGAGTCTCTTCGGGCTACTGAAAAAGCTTTTGGGCAGAATTCAGGTAATTGTAAAATGAAGACTGAAAAGTCAGTTCAATATCTAGAAAATATATCATGGGCAGCTATAAGATTAACTGTCTGCACACACTTCAGCAAATAGCTAGCACTGAGGCCATACCTCGGAGAAATGTTGCTGATTTTTGGGAGCATATCCAGTTTCTGAAGCCTCTGTGTAGTTAATCCTAACTCGTACTGTTTTAGCATTGCTTAACGCTTGGAATACTAGAAACAAATGGTCCCAAAATACGAGGGGCAGGAAAAGAGTTGCATTTCCCAGAGTCATTCTTCCAATTCAATTTTAGTTGTTCAACAACAAATAAGACCCATTTAAAAGTCTCATTCTTCTCTTAATTTTGAAAGATGAAACAGTCAGTGAACAGAGGCTATTTTGGTGGAGAAAGCAGAAACAAAGACTTGCATCTATGTAGCAACTTTTACCATCCTGGAGTGTCCCCAAAGCACTTCATACCCAATGAAGTACCCTTGAAGGAGAATTAGGAAGGTGCACCATGTCCATGTCTGACAAAGGAGGAGCTGTGCGTTCAAATGCATTCATTGGGCACAGGCATTCTAATTGTGCCTTTAATAGGCAAATCAGTTCCCCTGTTCTGAGCAAGATTGATTACTGATGCTGCTCATAGCTACTTTTGTCAGGAGATCAGCTGTCATGGCATCCTGCGTGTCTGTCCTGTACCATCCTCACATACCCACTGTGGGCACTTAACTGCATGCGCTTACTCTGGATACCCATCCACCAGGTCATGGTGGGTAGGTGGGTACTGGTGCAAGGTAGTCCTAAAACAATGCCCAGGCTACACAGCAAATAAGGAAAAGTAAGCTTGTGGTTTGGAAGCTGAAATGCAAATCAGAATATGCTGCCCAAATATGTCTGGTCAACCCTTCGTGCTGCTGTCTTCCACTTTACCTTCTAGAAGAGATCTCTGTAGCTTTTCAGCTCTGATGGAAAGGTCAAAATTCTCCTCTTTTCCTCTTTGGATGTCTCTTTTTAAGAGTTCTTTTTGCTCTTGCAATTTCATGTACCTCCACATTTGTCTTGTGGTGTGTGTGTGTGTATGTGTATGGAATCTTGGAATCTTGGCATCTACATTTTTTCCATGTAGCTTTACTTATTGTCCATCTCCCTGAGATGTACAGGAAAGTGAATCAAATGTAGCAGCTCATGAGATGTTCCCTTGTTATGAGCTTGAGTTTTTTTCGTTGTTAACACATGCCTCATCTTCACAAGGTAACTCCTGGCTATCTCTGTCCTTGTAACAACTGCGTCGTAATTGTCATTTTCTGAATCATTGTCCTAAATGGACAGACTTATCATCTTGTTCCAGTGTGACACCATCCATTTTATCTTCACTCTAGGTTCTTCCAGTGTATTCCTTCTAACTGCCCGACTGGTTTTCTCTTTTCTATGTTCTTGCATCGTCCACATTTCAAACTTTGTGAATTATAAATGAAATGGGACAGGGTGATAGATAGATCTTAGCAAGAAATCTTGCACTGTGCGAACTAGCTTGATGTTCTACATTATTTCACGATAGGATGCACCTACAGCACAGACTGCAGATTGCTGAGCCCCTCAGAGAAATGAAGAATACCATGGTTGCACAATTGACTTGGTTAGCTGGTTGCTGTCTGTAAAGCTTCCACCACACTCTCAATGGTACTCTGTGTTCTTTCCCTATTAGTAGATGGTATAATTAACCTCCTGAATAGAGCCTGTGTCAGCTAATCTCTTTCCTTGTAGAGTTGTAATGTCAACACCAAGCTTGAGTGCCTCCTGGTCAATTAGGATTGTCTTCTGTATGCTTGATGTGGAATGAGAGTCATTGATCGTGCTGGGGCACATAATATAGTCCTCACGTTTCAGTTTCCAAACCACAGGCTTACTTTTGCTGTGTAGCCTGGGCATTGTTATAGGAAGTGCAGACATGCCTGGCATCAGTACCCCCACGATCGGTATCCAGGGGAAGACCCTGTATCCTGTTTGGGCCTAGTATGTTGCAGGAATTGCTGCAAGGCACTAACTTGAAGGAAACACCAGTCACCTAATGATCTCCCCTCAGATTTTGTAAGGTTGGAGCCTTTAGCCATTGAGCCCTTCTTGTTAATGTTCAAAAGCACCTAATGGTAAAGCCCAGATCATAAGTACAGATGTGATTGAGAGAGGTAGTTGCTAAGGTATGGGAATTGCTCAATTCCCATACATGTTCCAGAGTCTCTCCTTCAACATAAATGGAAGTGAAATACTTGACCAGGTCTGGGTTGGTTTGTTTTGGCAATGTTCAAGGTTTGGCCAAGACTTTTATTTGTCAAACTGAAGAGATTGCAAGTGGCTTAAAAATCTGGCGCAGGGGTGGTGTTGTGAAAACAGTTTGTTCACTAAATATTATTTGGACGGGTCTCTTTTACATTTCGCCTTATACTGTCGCGTGTACGACTACGCTGGTCGGTTTAGCTTGGGCATGGAGGCAAAAGGTTAGAGTTTTCCATCTAAGTGGTGTCTAATAGTCACACTGGAGGCCAATTGATCTTTGAGTTGAATAACAACTGTTGGGTAAATGGTAACTAACGTGGAGTCTATCACACAGCCTTGCTTGACATCGATCCTCAGTTTAAAAGTATCTGTTTTTCTTTCTGTATGTAATACTGAGCCTTATATGTTCCAAACAGTCTGCTCTGATACGTAGCATTCTCAGGAGCAGACAGGATACCTTCCTCATTTTTGATTTGAATATCATCAGCTTTATTGTATGTCCTCATGCAGTTTTCTTTGTCTTTTAACAACACTGCCATGTAGGCTTTAATGGCCAAATAAATTATGAACAGTGACATAATAGTTACAATACTGAGATCAGATCTCACCATAGCAATGTGAAAATTTGAATTCAATTTGAATAAAGATCCGGAAATAAAATATCATTGTCAGACACAGTGACCAGGTTGTCTTGTGATTAAAAACTCAGTTGGTTCATTTAAAATTATTTGGACAGGTCTGTTTGTGGAGGGCAGCTGATGGAAGGCCTCAGAAAAATCAGATCAGATATAAATCCCCATTTTCTTTCCCTCTTGCGGTCCCAGCTGCTGCAGTTGTGATGGGAATTAGTGAAGAAATCATGAATATTATTGTACATGCTGGCAGACTGATCAACTCACTTCTGAAGTTGTATTTCAAAGTCTTGTCAAGTATCTTGAGGCAGTTTCATCGAAATCAGCATTTTAAAATTTATTTAACAATAACTGAGTGACGCAAAAAGAAGATCAGAAAGCTCTGCTTGGCAAAATATATTCCCTTAAGAAATTCCCGATGTAATGTATATTAGTACTCATAGGAAAGACTCTGGATGACATCTTGCAGTCAATAATGTATTGCTTGAATGCTTTGCTGTGATGTTTCCACCAATCCCCTCCTGGCTTCTCAGTAAGGATCTGATGGCACCCTTGCTGTTGATGCAGAAGGTTCTCAGTTGTACCTTGGAAAGAGCCAGAGAATAAAATGTGCAAGAAGTACTGCTGTTGACATCCAGTGACAGAGTTGTTTGATTATTAAATGGGGTTGTACATCATTGAACAGAAGGTAGCATTGGTCATCCAGGGCATCCTTGATGCTGTGTCCTTGCTTCCTTGCTGTTGCCTTTCACCAGTTAATAAAACATTGACCCTCCCCACTTTGATGCCATGAAGTATAATTAGCAAATATTGCTTTGTGCTGACAGGGTGGTTATTTCTGGATGCCAGTAACACAATGTTTGTGAATGCTCGAGCCAGAGTGTACAAGCGTCCCGACTCAAAGCTTAACACCTCAGCAAATGTGATAAAGACTGAACCAAAAGAAACAGACAAGACAGGTGCGTATTTAATAGTTGTCACTGTTCAGTGTGTGTTTGGGCTGATTTAGCTGCTCCATGTGCAACATGTTTGTATGTGAAATCTCAATTTCCAGGGGGTTGTCTTGTATTGGTTTCTGTGGAAGTTCTGTATCATGCTGTGTTCTGGAGAATTATGGCAATGTACAAACACTGCGTAACAGTCGGTCAAGCCTCCTGCCAATCTGCTAGTCAGGAGCTTTTCCTGCCTGCAATCTATCCAGCCAACCCTCTGACTTATGCTCAGTAATTATCTAATGACCCAGCAGTGACTGTCCCTCCCTCCAGAGGAGGGCAAAATAAAGCATGGGCTGAGTGCAGCTTGAAGATGATGGATCCAGCAACAAAAGGTTAGCAGACCTGGAAATTTGATATCTGAAGTAGGCAAATAGGCAGTGTCTACGGGTGGCACAGTGGCTCAGTGGTTAGCATTGCCACCTCTCAGTGCCACGGACCTAGGTCCAGTTCCAGCTTCGGACGACTGTCTGTGTGGAGTTTGCACATTCTCCCCGTGTCTGCATGGGTTTCCTACGGTTGCTCTGGTTTCCTCCCACAGACCAAAGATGTGCAGGTTAGGTGGATTGGCCATGGGAAATGCAGGGTTACATGGAATAGGGTAGGGGTGGTCCGGGTGGAATGCTTGTTGGAGGGTATGAACTCGATGGGCTGAATGACCTGCTTCCACACTGTAGGGATTCTATGAATTGACTGGTCGGTCAGGCTCATTTAAAGGGCCAGGAATGTGATAATTGCTCCTTACTTGATCTGTAAGTCTTAAGCTGGCGAACAAATGACAGTTCTGAATTTTTACAATATTGCGTAGCGGGGCTCGATTTCATGCAGTACACGGGACAGGCTGTAGGGATCACTGCAGCCCTGTAAGGGATGGATGTCAATGAGTGGCTCGTTCAGGATTCCATAGCAGGCATCTGTCGGAAGGTTCACAATCACACCCTTCGATTGAGCTTCCTTGATGCTGGCTGACACTTTCTTCATCTCCTCTTCGCCTCTCCTTTCTTTATTTTCTTAACCCTCCATCATTTCTTCTTCCTACCATATTTTGAATTCTTTTCCACCTGCTCCAGTAGCTCCTACCCATTAGGTGCACCTGATGGGGCAAGAATTACGAAGCTGCTCACTGACTGTTGCAGCTCGTTGGTCACTTACAAATTATAATGTCAGTAACCAAGGTCCTCTGCCAAGTGTATCTATGCTGTCCCAAATTTTGGTAGGTAGGGTGCTTTTCTTTGGATTAGAGCCATACAGCATGGAAACAGATCCTTCTGTCCAACCAGTCCATGCCGAACACAATTCCAGACTAAACTAGTCCACCTACCTGCCCTTGGCTCATATCCCCCCAAAACTTTCTAATTCAAGTATTTATCTAAATGCCTTTTATATTTTGTAATTGTACCCACATCCTCCACTTCATCCGGAAGTTCATTCCACACACAGACCACTCTCTGTATATAAAAAAAAAGTGCTCCTCGTGTCCTTCTTAAATCTTTTTCCTCCCACCTTCAAAATATGCTGCCTGTTCTTGAAATCGCCCACCCTCGGGAAAAGATACCTGCCATTCATCTTATCTATACCCCTTATGATTTTTGAAAACCTCTAAAAGATCATCCCTCAACCTCCCATGCTCTAGTGAACAAAGTCCCAGCCTGTCCAGCCTCTCCCTAAAACTCAAAACTTCCATTCCCGGCAACATCCTGGTAAATCTTTTCTGAACCTTCTCCAGCTTAATAATATCCTTCCTATCACAAGGCAACCAGAACTGCACACAGTACTCCAGAAGAGGCCACACCAACATCCTGTAGAACCTCAACATGACTTCCCAACTCCTATACTCAAAAGTCTGAACAATGAAGTCAAACATGCTAAACACCTTCTTAACCATAAATAAAAACAGATACTGGAGAAGCTCAGCAGGTCTGGCAGCATCTGTGAAGAGAAATCAGAGTTAACGTTTTGGGTCCGGTGACCCTTCCTCAGTCACCGGACTCAAAACGTTAACTCTGATTTCTCTTCACAGATGCTGCCAGACCTGCTGAGTTTTTCCAGCAACTTCTGTTTTTGTTTCTGATTTACAGCATTCGCAGTTTTTTCAGTTTTTATCTTCTTAACCACCTTGCCTACATGAGATGCAAATTTCAAAGAATTATGCACCTAAACTCCTAGGTCTTTCTGTTCAGCAACACTACCCAGGGCCCTACTTTTAATTGTATTAGTCCTGTCCTTGTTTGTTTTATCAAAATAAAATACCTCAAATTTATCCAAATTATACACCATCTGCCACTCCTCAGCCCATTCACCCAATTGTTCAAGATCTCTTTGTAATCTTAGATAACTACCTTCACTGTTCACCATGCCACCAATTTTGGTTTTGAAGAAGTGTGAATTTCATAGGGAACAACTGAGACAAGTAAGCAATAAACAAGAAGTAGAACAGGACATAAGACCCTTTTCCCTCAGTAAGGACAGTGCAGGGGTCATTCTTGGGCCAAAAGAGATTTTCCTGTGGCCTTACAGGGGGAGCAGTGGAAACACAGCTACCAGGAGTGAAATTGGTTGGAGACCCAGCCCCCAACTCCTCCTCACCAGTTGCATTTATTGAGAAGGAAGGAGCTATCGGAGTTTGGATGGTGAGGTGTACCAGTAAATCTCCCCGTCCAACTTCCCATCATACTGCATCAGGACCTGACTGAGAGTGGGCAAATGGCAGAGAGTAAGTCAGCCTGATAACACCTAAAGAGAGTCCCGAGGAATTTCCACAGTACTGAGCTCGTCTTGTTCGCTCAAAGGATGAGAAAGACCATAGAAGAAAAATCCTTTACCTGCTTCAAAGCAGTGATCTAACAATCTCTGACAGGATTTGTTTTTACAAGGAGCATTAAGACGCACAAGCCTGATACGTTGTTATCCTCTATTATTCTTTCGGTAGTTTGAAATGATTAATGGTGAAGGGCACTGCCATTTGGTATCTAGGATTTTGTAGGCTAAATTTCTGGTACTACAGTGAGGTGAAGCCACCTGAAGGCCAGCTACATCTGTAACAAAGGGGAGGTGGCAATTCAAATACCAGTCACCAAAAGGACATTGTTAACTGACTCTCCACAGGCAGCTACAGAGCGATATTGTGATTCGCCGATCTATTGTCTCGCCCAGGATGCAGAGAAAGGATAGAATTTTATATATTTCAAAAACAATTCAGAGAGTTAAAGGCAGGATGACTGGAGAACTAGTTGAAGCTGTCAATAACTTGAGCACGACATTGCTTTTGTCTTGCAATTTACTTAGAACAAAAGGAACTCATCCTGGAGATGAACCCAAAGTGGGAAGCATTGAGTGAAGTCCTAGCGGAGATCAAAAGGGAAAATGAGCCCAGCGAAACATTGACAGCCTCAGGTAAGCTGATGAGCATCTAAAAAAATTGAATGAAAGCAAGAACTGCAGATACTGGCAGTTGGAGTTGATACAGCATGGAGCTGGAGGAACACAGCAGGTCAGGCAGCATCAAAGGAGCAGGAAAGTCGACGTTTC